CCCCAAAACCCCAAAACCCCAAAACCCCAAAACCCCTTTGAAATGTATGATGGAAGATGGTGGGAAAAAATGATTGGAATTAAATAAATATAAATTATCTTATTTCGATGTCCAACGCGAATTTAGCAATACTGTAAACATATAGAACTGCAATTTAGCTTCTAAATATCCATTATATTACTTATTTGTTATGAATTACACTCAGAGCTTTCTTGTTTTGGAATTATTGTTGCTTTATTCTTGATTATTCAATTTGTCTTGAGAACCACTATTGCTAAGATTTGGGGAGTTTTTCTACTACAAAAATGAATCATTCCTCTCACTTTTAAAACTATTCTCAGGCCTTACTGATTAGTTGAACCGTCCTTATCCAAACCCTAAGGCGCTATTTTATTGACCGAATGACATTGGATAAATTGAATCTCTTTGATTAGTTGCTCCTTTAAGACTAAAATGAATTAAAAATGAAATGTCTAATCATTACTCGTGATTGGGAGCGAACGATAATGGTGCTCCATCTTAATATTCAACGTTTTATACTCCTCCAGATGTCTACAGTCTGACTGAACTTCCTTACTCTCCTTTGTTTGGATTGCCATAAATGCTACCATTATCTCCATTTCCTTATCCCTAATATTTTTACTATGTATATAGCAAAGAAGTAGTAGCAAGTGATTAGCCACCAAAATCATCTGTTTGTTATCTTTAATTATCTCCTCCTTTTTCTTATAAACTTTGGACGTAGCTTGCTATATTAAAAATGTTTATCACTTTAATCGATTTACCTCCGTATTTGAATACATTTAAATTAGCTGGTATTTGCTATTATTACTTATTTTCTTTTGTTGTTTGATATAATTCCTTAGTTTTCTTTGATTCAAGAGAAGTATCATTTGAATTATGAGTAGAATCAAGATCTCTTTAATCTGCTTATTGTTTTACACAGCAGGTTCCCATTAAAAACTTTGCAAATTTGATATAATAATTCTAATTATAATAATAAATTAATAATTAATAATTTAGTACTAGTCTGAATATAATGAGTGGGGTGGACTTAGATAGTCTTGAGTAAATATACAAGATCAATGAATTACAGCAGCTTCCACTCAACGAACTTAGAGACTTGTATAAAAGGGCTATTGATGAATTGATGGAAGAGAAAATTAAATATGAGGAGTATGAGCGTAAGTAAATTGCACGCAAATAAAAAATGGAAGAAATCTGATAGTTATTTTGAGTGTTCAAATCAATCTATCTATCTTTTCTGTAGCAATCCTAATTTATACATTTCTAATAATCTCAATAATTTTATCTTATAGTGACGAGTAAGGAATATGAATTAGAACTAGAAACTTAGAACGATTAAAACGTGAAGAGGGTAGATGAATTAGAAGGAGAAAACGATAAACTTATAAGAGAATTGGATAAAATTAGAAATAAATATGAAAATGATCGAAAGGAGCTCGTTAAGATGGAAAAGGAAAATGAACAACTTAAGAAGTAATTAACCCAGACAAATGATAATACCAAAATTTATTTTCAAAAACTAAAAAATTTGGAAATAGACAATGAGCACCTAGGCAGAGATTTGAGGTAAGTTGTGTGAATAAAGTTAAAATTTACCAGAGTTATGTTTTTTCTTTGGAAAAAATCAACTAGGCATGATTTAATCAATCATAAGCATTATTGAATGTATTTCTTATTCTTTTAAATAGGGTTTCAGAATAAATTATTCAGGACTTAGAATAAAAATTAGACTCATAAATTGAGGAATTAGCATTACTGTAATCAGAGCTAGAAGAATATAAATCACATAGTTAGGAGTAACTTGAGCGTTTAAAATAACAATTGGATGAGACAAATACAGAACTTTAAGTTAAAGAAAGGGATTTAAAGAAGCTTAAATTGCAAAAACTAATGCTTGAGACAAATGGGATTGGAATGCCTCACTAACAGAATAAAAATAATGGGTCTTTTATTGATAATAATGGTTAAAACTAAACTTAATAATAGTATGTATCAATGAAGACTAACTAGCCTGTAAGATTAAGTTAAGGTAAAACTGGAAATGTCCTCAATAAATTGACAACTCATGACTTTACCAGTAGAAATAGTACTAATAGAGACAGATCGAATACTTATTAGACTTAACATGCTCAAACTCATCATGATGATGAAGGTACTGATATGTTTGAGAGAGCAGACCATTTTGATGCCAGTAAAAGACCTGAATCTGCTAGGTACTAGCAACCTGGTAGGAGCAGTCTATTAAGTAACTCTAATATTGGAGGAGGAACAGGAATATTTAGCTAAACTCACTAAAATTTTAATCTGGTAGATGGTTAATAATCTCCTGTTAAAGAAGAATAAGATTCCACCTCAAAAGGATCAAAAGCATTAGATGAAAACCCAAGTCTCAATTAGAAAGATTTTGACCAAGAATAAGAATAATCATAAGATTATTAGCAAAATTAAGATAGTTATCTTGATGAAAGTATTCACAGACTTGAAGATGAGGAAGGTTAGGAACCAACCCATCATAATGAAAGTCAAGAAATAAAATCAGTTGAGGTTTTGCAAGTTGAAGATAATCAGGATCAAAATGCATTTAACAGCGATGAATAAATGTTCTAGCCTGTATCTGATGTAAAATTACAATTTGAAAATGAAGTTTTAAATAATAATCAAAATCTTCAAGCACCCCAATAATTCATCGTTGTCAATCGTAAATCAAATACCTTTATCGATTCAAGCACACAATAAATTCACTAGATCCATGAATCTAAAGTTGAGGAAAAAAAGTAGAAGCATTTTTTCAATCAAGAAAATCTTGGTCCATATATCAATGGTCATTCTTATGGTGCAGCCTTGAATCTAATGGCTAACAATGAATTTGATGATAATCTTTTGACTGTAGATCTCGATATTGAAGAGCTTCTTGAATGTGATGATATTGAATAGACTGCTTTTATCAATTCATCCAAATAGCTCTTGAGTGTGATAGACAATGTAATTAACTGCATTGATGATAGAATCAATAGCAAGAGACATAACTTTTACGGTAATGGAGCAAACGGATATTATGCTAATGCCAATGCTGGACTCGGATATGCTCAGGATGAATATGGACTAGGTAGCTTTTCATAGAAGAACGCCTTCATAGGAATGAATACTTAAGGAGGTTACCATAAGCATCAAAGTCAATCTACTTACTTAAATATGGCAACAGGAGGTTAAAGTAGCAATAAAAACCTTGATAGCAGAAATATTATGATGAGAAGTGGAGCTATTGATGGAAGAAGTACTGGAGCTGCTGATAATTTTGATAAGACTAGGAAAATCTCTGTGTTATACTGATGAAATATTGGTAAAGTTAAATTGAACATATATATAACCGATCCTTCTCAATTATTTTGTCATAAATGTTTTGGGTGTGAGCTCAATACTTTAAAATTCATCTAACACTATTTATCAGCATCTGAAATGTCTATTTTATGGGGTTTTGGGGTTTTGGGG